ACGGAATCCAATGAAGACGGAGGCCCTGTGCCTGAGCCAGGGTGGTTCGGGGGTAGGGATCCCACTCCCGACCTTTGATGGAACGCCTCTGGTGCCAGCGCCCAAGGTTAGGAGTTTGGGAGTGCTCTTGGATGCCTCCTTAACAATGGAGGCCCAGGTAGCAGCCACTGCCAAGGCAGCCTTCTACCATCTTTGGCTGATTAGGCAATTGGTTCCCTTCCTTGACCACAATGACCTGGCAACTGTGACCCATGCGATGGCCACCTCGAGATTAGACTACTGTAACACTCCCTACATGGGGCTGCCCTTGTTGCAAATTTGGAAGCTGCAGCTAGTGCAGAATGCTGTGGCCAGACTTCTGATGGGCCTCCCCAGGTGGGAACACATCCAGCCTGTGCTGCACTGGCTGCCAATAGCATACTGAATTCATTTCAAGGTGCTGATTCTTACCTTTAAAGCCCTATATGGCCAGGGTCCGACATAACTGAGGGACCACCTTTCCCCATTCATACCCCAGAGAGTACTACGATTGGGGTCTCAAAATCAACTGGCCCTCCGAGGTCCCAATGACACCAGGCTTCCTACTACCAGGGCCAGGGCCTTTTCAGTGGTGGCTCCATACTGCTGGAACAAGCTCCCAGAAGTGATCAGGGCCCTGCAGGATCTTTTACAGTTCTGCAGAACCTGCAAGACGGAGCTCTTCCACCTGGCTTTCAACTAAGGAGCCGCTGCCACTATTACCACCAACAATCTTAATTATAGAGCCCTGGCCCTTGGCTTTGACATTTACAGCCTGTGCCACCACTTGTATCAGGAAGATCATGGAGCAGAACATTTAGTTAGACCTTTGTATGCACTCATACAGTACACCATCATTAAGGAATTAATTAAATATCGCCAGCACTTTATGATACCGAATTGTTTGTAATTCAACTGTTTTTAGATGAGTTTATGTCAATTTTAATTGTTATTTAGGCACCAAATTGTGTAAGACACCCTGAGCCTGCTTTTGCGGGGAGGGTGGGGTATAAATTAAATACATAAATAAATAAATATGACCCACTCCAGTCAACATCATGGCTGCAGCATTCTGTACCAATTTACATTTCTGAACACTGCTTAAGGGCCATCCCATGTAGAGTCCATTGCAGTTATTTAATTTAGATGTTACCAGGATGTGCACCACAGTGGCCGAATCTGTTCTGCCCAGGAAGGGCTGTAGGTGGTTAACCGGTCAAAGCTGGTAAAATGCACTTTTGGACACAGCTGCCACCTGCTTATCCAGCAGTAGGACTTCCAGTTTGTTGGGATTAAGCTTCACTTCAAAACTGCCTCCAGGCACTGGTTCAGGGTTTCTATAGACTCTCTGGGATCAGCTGGAAGTACGAGTTAGAACTGAGCGTTATCTGCATCTTGGTGACAACCCAGCTCAGTTCTCTGGATGAGCTCACCCAGCAGTTTCATGTAGAAGCTAAGAGAATAGGGGTCAAGATGGAATCTTGCAGGACCCCAAAGGCCAAGGGTATGAGGAGCAGTCCCCAAGCACTACCTTCTGAAACCTACCTTTCAGGTAGGATTGGATTGGAACAGTGCCTCCAAAACCCAGCCCAGAAAGGTGGTATGGCAGGGTACCATGCTCAATGGCATCAAAAGCTGCTGAGAAGAATCAGCAGAGTTGTATTGCTTTGTACATCTCCCAGAACAGGTTATATACCAAGGTGACCGAGGCTGTTTCAGTCCCATCACTAGGCCTAAAACCAGACTGGAAAGGATCTAAACAATTTGTCTCACCCAGGAAAGCTTGAAGTCATCCAGCCACCACCCATTCAATCACTGTGTTCAAGAATGGGACGTTTGAGACTGGTTGTTAATTACTGAGATCTCTTGGATCAAGGGTAGGATTCTTGAGAAGCGGACATACCACAGTCTATTTTAGAATAAAGGTAAAGGTAAAGGTTCCCTTGCTCGAAAGCCAGTCGAGTCTGACTCTAGGGTTGCGGTGCTCATCTCCATTTCAAAGCCGAAGAGCCAGCGCTGTCCGAAGACGTTTCCGTGGTCATGTGGCCGGCATGACTAAACACCAAGGCGCACGGAACGCTATTACCTTCCCACCGAAGTGGTACCTATTTATCTACATGCAATTTCTTGCTTTCGAACTGCTAGGTTGGCAGGAGCTGGAACTAGAGACGGGAGCTCACTCTGTCATGCGGCAACTCAGGTCTCGAACTGCTGAACTACTGACGTTCCACAGCCTGCCGTTCAGCGTCTTAACCACTTGAGCCACCGCAGCTCAATAGGAACAGCTTAAAAAATAGCAGCACCTATTGACCCTCCTCGCATTGTTGATATGCTTAGCATAGCCCATCCAACATTTCCCCAAATGATTTTCCCCAAGAATCACTGTTATTGTGCTTAAATTATCTTGAAATCCCCCCCTAGCTGCAATGACTGTGAACCTGACATGGTGCTTAAGGGGATAAAGGATAATTTAAGGAAGTGAGTATTTATTCAGGAAGGATAATAAAAGCTTATGATCTTAAAAATACCTGTTATTATTGCTAGGCAGCACTAAGAATGGCAGACAGTTCAGAGAACAGTGCTTGTTTCTTTTAGGGCTGCATCATCTGTACAGGGACAGGAGGGGGACACTGGACTGAATTCAGTCTGAAAGGTTCCTTATGTTATCTTGCTGCCTCATTAATATTTTTTTTCTGTGTGTAACTTTCCTTAAAAGTGCAATTTCTGCTGAGAATTAATCCTTACAAGTTCTTCCACCTCTGTGAATTCCTTCCTGGGGGAGAATGTGCTAGTAACTAGATTTCAAGCTTCATGCCATTAACGCAGTAGTGTATCCAATGCCCGTAAAGAAATAATGATTTATTAAATTGTACATATTTTTATTTATTTATTATTTGTATTTATACCCCGCCCTCCCTGCGGACATATGATGAGAAGAGTCCTATGGCACCCTATTGAGAGCCTGATGCAAACAGAAAGATATTTACCCCCCCCGACGGAAGAAATAGTCAGACAACAAGGTTGGATGAAATAAGGCCACTTTATTAAAATATTAACTTAACGGCAAAGGGCAAACATGAAAACAGCGGCATGGCAAGGCCTGGTGTCGCTTTGACCCCCATCCTTAACCGTATAAACGGCAAGACACCACGGCCCCGGGTTGGGGCCTGCGGAGCCGCTGAACTTTATTTAAACCTAATTCTGCCACCGCAAGGGTCAAGCCTCTGCTTAGGCCCCTGCGCCCACTCAAACACCTAAAATTAGCTTAAGCCCTTGCTGCAAATCCTGAAGGAAGATGTCATTTCGATTCTCGGAAAGGTGCACGCCATCCCCTCTGTACAGGTCCGGAAAATCAAGCCAAATCTGGGGGTGAGGAAAGTAGTGGCCCCATCCAACCTTTAAAATGTTATAAAGCTCCCCATTGGCCTTACGCCGAGCCCTCTCAATCCCCTTGGGGTCCCAAGTGCTACGCCATACCAGGTGTGGAATCATGGCTGACCACACAATTACTGTGTCTGGCCATTGGCGCTTAATGCACTCCAGGTCATCCCTGGCTTGCCACACAAGGGCCTTCCCTTTCAGGAATCCCAAATCATTACCTCCCAGGTGGATAACCAACACATCTGGTGGCAAGGCTGAATTGTCCTTAAACAGAAAAGGGAGGAGGCCCGGCCAACGCAGGCCCCGGCGCCCCCTCCACTCTAACGTAGCCCACTGGCTGAGGCCCAGTTGCGAGCCAATGGCTGATCGATTGGCCCGATGAGCCGCCCAGAAGATGTAGCTGTGTCCGGAGATGAGAATCCGTCTCCTGCCACAAAACACAGCTCCTAGGAAGAAACGACAGTGAACACCGGAACCCAACAGCGCAAACAGCATTGCAAACAGTAACTTATAATAAGGGAAGAGGGCGCACATAACGTTTATAAGCGGCAGATCGCCACGTGCCCACCCTCTGAATATCGGCAGTGGGATAGCCTAAGGCTGCCGCCGTGGATGCTGCTCCTATTTTGAATGAGTGAGTGCCAAACTTCATTCCAGAAAGGCCTAACAATTCCAAAGCCCGGGCCGTGACAGCCCAAAACTGGTGCTTTGTCAACGTAAGCTCCGCTCCCCCTCTTGGAATTTAGGCTGCCCTGCAGCCCTTCCTTATTCCTCCTCACGAGGAGGCAAACGCGGCCCCAGGAGGCATGCCGTGGGCTGTCTCCTGCGGGGGCCGGATTGTTTCAACACATACAAACAAATCCTTCATCAGTGTAGCCACTATACAAAAAAATATTTGTCCTGGTTCCAAACAGTTTTGGCTTTCATATGTCAACTATTATCCTTTTCTTTCTCTTCTGCCAGCTACTCTGGTCCTCTCATTTAATTCAATGTTGCTTAGAAGTATCAGAGAACATCACAAAGTGATACTCGTATCACAAAAACAGATCATTTGCAGCATCCTGAGAGACTACATTTGTTTTTATAATAAATATACTAGATATAGTCATCGTTGAGTTTCTGGAATGGTGTTCAGAGGCCGCCTTGCTTCCTTCAAAGGTTACATGAGGTATAAGAAGACTGGCCATCATAGATGGCCTGCAGTATTCCAGTGGGATCTTTAAATGTCCTCTGGCATTGACCTCCATTGAGGCATAAACTCAGGTGATGTGTACAGTACAGCTGCAAAACATGGGCAAAGATGCAACATGATGAAGGCTGTTTCTGGGGTGACTCACCTATGCAACTTCATAAAGTACAGTCCCTTAATTGTCAGGAGTTTTCTTACCCCTGGAAGGAACCTCCAAAGATGCTGTCATTAAGTTATCACTGAAATGTATAACATTTTAATGCTGTTCTATGTGCTGCACTAACTCCATATTTGCTTAACTATTAACTGGCAGGGCTACTGCCAATCAGTAGCATCACTCATGCAGATACACATATTTCGCTTACTCTCATAAATGTAGTCTTCTTGCAAATCTTTTTCATTTTGAATTCAGATGATGCTTCAGCTCCTGCACTGGAGACTCAGCCCCAAGGTGATGAAGAAGGTGAGCATTTTGACAAACTAAATGGGAAGACCATGAAAATAAAAACTGAATGTTATATAGGGAGGGAGTCGCTCTATGGAGTCTTTCCCAATACCTTGAAAAATACTTTAACTACAGGTGCCAGGGATTTTAACTAGATACCCTCTACATGTCAAATATGTGCTGTAGTACTGAAACATGGAACATCTTCCTGTAAACTTATTGGCACCCAAAATCTCCTGTTATTGTTGTTGATCTGCTTCCATGCATTTATTCTATATGGGCTTGGATCCACTGGAAGGTTTCCACAGAGGGAGGGGATTTCTGTTTGCAGAGCATGATTCCTTCTTCTCTCTCTGCAACCCCCATGCACAGCAAGAAGGGGGAACCAGACATCTGTGGTTGGAGGAGGGGAAAGTGAACCTGCCCCCAATCCACAAATGCAGAAAGTTTCCAATGGATCTAATGCATAGTCTCCTATTAATATTCCACTTCTTTTATTTTAAAAAAATTATGGATACCCACCAATAGAGTCTTGTCTTTGTCTGAGGCTGCGATCACACACACTAAATAATCCACTTTCATTTCACTTTCCAACTGGATTTTACTCCTGCACTGTTATTTTTGTCACTTGTTTGTCCCTATTGCTTCCGGGGTTTTTTTCTCCCAATGTCCCAGAGGGAGCAAAACATATGTGGAAAGTGGGGGGGGGGGGGCAAAGCAATAGGGACAAACGAGTGATAAAAACGACAGTGTGGAAGTGAGTGTGAACTGGCAAAATCAAATTCAAAAGTGCACTGAAAGTGGATCATTTAGTGTGTGTGATCACAGCCTAAATCAGCTTCACCTACAATCTGGAAGCTTCTCATTTATAAGTGCCTCATGTTCTTTTGTCCTCGTTGTTAATTCCTATAGCTGGCAGTCTGCTGACCCAGCTGTGTCTATCTGATTGACTAATACTTTTGGAATTTAAAATGAGACTCTTCTGTTGCAATTTGAACTTGCTAAAGTAACTAGATAGGCTAGAGCTTTGAAGAATTATACTGTTAGATTTGCACATTCCTGAAATTTGTGCCAGGAACTTTGGGTATGGATTTCATAACCATATATTCTGTATTTTTGCCACTGAAGGTATATATGGTAGCTTATGTTGAACCATTTCTACTTGGACTGCACTCACTGGTATATCTAAAATATTGTTATAATGTTCTTAAGCTTTGCAATCATTTGCAATCATTTTAATTTCAATAAATTGTTAAGGGAAAAAATATTAAACAGGAAAAAATAAAACAAATATTGTTATCACCCCCTTTTTAAGCATGGTCTTCATAAAGGTACATCTTGTCATTGTCTGTTGTTGATTTATATTTTCAGTACCTAATTTTATTCTCCTTAATTTCTAGATATAGCTTCTCGTTACCCTACATTATGGACTGAGCAAGTAAAAAGCAGACAGAATAAGACCAATAAAAATTCTGGTAAGACGATGGAACATAATTAAGTTGAAGCTATCTATCTACTTTCCCCCCACCCTTTCTCCAAAGAATTCAGTTCTTCTCCCTTCCTCTCCTTTTGTCTTCACAGCATCCTAGGTTAGGTTGAAACAGAGTAATTGAGCCAAGGTGAATAAATCCCATGGCTGAGCTGAGGTTATGAAGTCCAGCCTCCCAGGTCTTAGTCCAACTGCCCAACCACTGTACCACTTTGGCTCTAAATACTTAAGTTTACCTTTCTTTTTATATTGGTACCAACACTCCCCCCCTTTCATCTACCATTTCTAAGTCTCCTTTTCTGAACATTCAGCATCTGTCAGTCACACTAATGTTTTCTGCTAACTTTGCTTACCTCTGCACACTTAGCTGGGAGGAAGCATCAACAGACATAATTACTACTTTTTAAGCATGAATATGGACTGCAGGAGATTCTCTTGATAAAATTAGTAAAATTTAAAATGGTAAAGACAAAGCTTTCCCTTGAAAGAGCTTCACTTTCACTTTCTGTAACCTTTCTTTTTCTTTTTTGCATTTTAAATTGAGACGTACAAGTTCACTTGCTCATCTGCAAAAGCATCTCTGTGCAATCATACATACACTTACTTCAAGACTATTTTATTGTAGTGTTTGCTCAAGGCATACTTGCACATTAATAATGTTAATGAGGGGAAATGACACAAAGGAACCAGTGGAACTAAAAGAGGTAGCCAGCTGCACATGCACAGAGCTTTGTGCAAAAATTGGAACTAAAAAGGTCATAATAGAGAATCCATGCTTGTTCCTCTTTGAAAAGAATGCCAGGTGAGGAATTTACATGAGGAGAATATTTGAAGCATCTCTTCTGCAACTGGCCAACAAATCCTGCTACCTCTTTTTCTCCAATTCACCTGAAAACTTCCCATGCCAATCTACATTTGCTGTTAGAACACTTGGCTGGACTTGTTAAATAGTGGGTTTAACCAGGGGTCTTTTAGTAGAAAAAGAGGTGCAGGAGCTCATTAGCATAACTCATTAGCATATGCCACACCCCCTGACATCACCGAAAGTGTGTCAGAAGGGCACACTCCCTGACATCACCGGAAGTGTGTCAGAAGGCCACACCCCCTGGCATCACCGGAAGCGAGTCAGCAGACGACACCCACCACTCAGATCCACCAGTGGGGCCTGAACCCCAGAAGCCATGCAGGATCAGGCCAGTGGCCCATCTAGTCCAACACTCTGTGTCACACATCGACCAAAAATACCAGAGGCTCTCAGGAGGTCCACCAGCGGGACCTGAACCCCAGAAGCTCTCCCAGTCTTGCCCCCCAAGCACTAAGAATGCAGAGCATTACTGCGCCAGACATAAGAACATTTTTTTATTTTATTTTTTTTCCCAGACATAAAAACATAAGAGAAGCCATGCTGGATCAGGCCAGTGGCCCATCCAATCCAACACTCTGTGTCACACATAGGCCAAAAATACTAAAGGCCCTCAGGAGGTCCACCAGCGGGACCTGAACCCCAGAAGCTCTCCCACTCTTGCCCCCCAAGCACCAAGAATGCAGAGCATCACTGCGCCAGACATAAGAACATAAGAGAAGCCATGCTGGATCAGGCTAGTGGCCCATCCAGTCCAACACACTGTGTCACACATTGGCCAAAAATACCAGGGGCCCTCAGCAGGTCCACCAGCAGGGCCTGAACCCCAGAAGCCCTCCCACTTTTGCCCCCCAAGCACCAAGAATGCAGAGCATCACTGTGCAGCCCAAACGAGGCAGGGATGGGGACGGGGGCCTAGTCCAGGTCGCTCCAGGAAGCCTGGACAAGGCAGGGACAGGGGCCTCGATCTTTCCCGGGGCATGCGGCTCAGGGAAGATCAAGGATGGGGCGGGAAGGCCTTGCCTGGGCCACGTGGAGTGGCCGGAGGCAGCCAGGGATGGGGCGGGGAGGAAGCCTACTCACCGTCCTGCTTCTTCCTCCTCCTGCGACGAAATGAGGGCTGGAAGGAGAGGGCGACTGGAAGCAAGGGGCAGGGCTTTGTCATATGCCCACCCCCCGGACGCATCACTCCTGGAGTGCCGCTCTGGGGTGCTCCAGCCCCATCCGAGGCCTGGGTTTAAAACAGCAAAGGCAAAGGCAGTGATTTCAGCAAACATCAGTTTATTGCATCTCAACAGGAATACTTTACATGGGGCAACTGCCCTAACTATATACACCTAAGCCACTCCCAGCCCCCATGCAATTGGTGAGTTCAAATGGCTTCCAGGCTCCAGATTGGCTAGCTGCCCTCAGGGGCCAATCTGCAGGCAGGTTCCAGGATCCTGCCTGCCTTTGTCCTGGGGCTTCAAGCTCCAACTAGGTGGCCTGCCTGTACAAGCCCAGACACGCCTCCCCACTCTCCATCTAGGTGGGCTGCCATACAAGTCCAAGCATGCCTCCTTATGTCCAGACATAAGAGGGCTCTTGTCATTTCTGTAGTCTGATAAAGTGACCATTTCTCCCACTGTATCATCAAGGTATGAGTGAAAACTATTTGCCTCATTTTGTGTTGTTGTGTGTATTGTAATGCACCTCTCCCTGTTTGGTGTAGTGGTTAAGAATCAGTTTGGTTTAACGGTTAAGAGTGGCAGACTCTATTCTGGACAACCAGGTTTGATTCCTCATTTCTCCACATGCAGCCAGCTGGGTGACTTTGGGTCAGTCACAGTTCTCTCAGAGCTCTCTCAGCCCCAACTACCTCACAGGGTGTCTGTTGTGGGGAGAGGAAGGGAATGTATAGTTATGATGCTTTTCTCCTTGATCTCACTTTTCTTTGTTTCCCCAGTCTTTGACAGTATTTGCCCACACTGTTATTCAGTCTTTTTTACTATAAGGAGCTATGTGACAATGACATCACAGTGACCTGATGACTTCATGGACAAATCACATGATTACAGTAGTCCATCTGTTGATGAGTGATTGATGAGAAAAGGACTCCCCGTGTCATTACTAGTGGGTTAGATGTGATATGACAGTGGAAACAGGAGGAAACTGTAGCCAGTACCATGCAGTTGTGTGATTGTTGACTGGACAGTAATGTCATCCTAAGCAGAGTTGCACCCATTTAAGTGCATTGAAATCACTGGGCTTCAAAAAAAGTAACTCTCCTTACAATGCCACTGCATGAGTCGGTTGTTGACATCAGTGCCCACACTGCATGAGCCTAGCCATATTGTAGCTGCATATCTTTATGGTGCTGAAGCTGGTTATATCTACTCCTCATGCTTCCATGCCCACTTTATAATTTCCACCAGTAGCAATATGGGGACTTTTATGCTCCTCAGTCACTCCTCAGCAGAGGGTCATATTTCCTCTTATCTGCTGCAATGTCCTATTAGCTGCCACTGTAAATAAAAATATGTATGTGAAAATGTGGAAATTCAATTAAGGAACTTGTGTTCCCTTAAAGGGTAACACTGTAGTATGAATTTTAGAATCGCCTTCTTTGTCCACTTCTCCTGAGACAGATAATCAGAAATAAACTCCAAAGAACTATTTGGATACTAACTAATTGGAATATTCAAAATTAGATTATTTCTTAGTCTGAGATGTGAAAGAAAGCAGCATTCTTGAGAGGGTAAAACAAAACAAAACAACGCCCAGAAATACTTCATTTTAAGTGGTATTTATTTCATCTTTATTACACAAGAGACCAGTTGGTGCCAAAGCTAAAGAGTTATTGTGTTTGGAACCAACTTTAGTTATTCAAGAGTCTCACGTGCAGAAATATGAGAGACCACAATGCAAATAAAATAACAAGCAATTCATCCACCCAAGTATGTCTTTGCAGTATGCAAAAGCCAGCCTAACAGCGCAATCCTGTAAAACTGCTGTACAGACAGATCTACTTATAGGCTCAGATGGGGACACTTCTATAAGGAGTATGCATTTGTTTCCAGATGAATCGTGGGGGGGGGGGGAGGACCAGAAAGTCCACACTGATTTCGTTTCCTTTAGATAATGAAAACAAATGGGAAAACAACACTTTATTTATTTATTTATTTATTTAAAACATATCTGTTCCACTAAATTTCAGTTTATTAGTCCTCATCCATTCCAAAATTGCCTCCAGACACTGTTCACAGTTTCCACAGTCTCCGTGGAATCTGCTGGAAGCATGAGATGAAGCTGAGTATCATCCACATATTGATGGCAACTCATCCCAAATCTCTGAATGACTGTTCCAATCAGATGACTGATCCACCAGGGTGGCCAAGGCTATTTCAGTCTCATGACAAAGTCTGAAACCAGATTGGAACTGATCTGCTCAATTAGAGAACTCGATACCTTAGATCATATTCTGCTACGCTGCCCCTTCCATTCACATTGACTATTTTTGATTAAGCCCTTACTGAGTAGGATCAATTCTGATAATGCAGTCAGGTTTCTCCTTGCTGATAAGACACCAGAAGTGACTGTACAGATTGCTGAATTTTTGTCTAAAATTTTGGTAGCAAGAAACTATTCTTAATTGGTTTGTTCTAAGATTTATAGATGTAATTTTAGCTTGACGAAGTTCTTATCTTACTGATTTTATATGCCAATAAAGGTTTTTGTATTGTATTGGAACTGATCCAAACAATCTGCTTCATTCATGAATTCCTTAAGTTGCCCAGCCACTACTCATTCACCACCTTGCCCAAGAATGGTACCTTTGTGACTGGTCAGTAGTCATGCGACTCTCCTAAGCCTATAGTGGGTGTCTTTAGAAGTGGATGCACCACTGTCTGCTTTAAGGCAGGGATGACCACCCCTTATCTCAGAGAGGAATTTAACATCTTCTGGACCCAGTCTGCCAGCCCCCCCCCCCAGATGTCCCTGTAGCCTTGGACCTTCATCCTATGTGTGCAAGAGTCCGTTCCTATTCTCAGAACATCCTTGCAGTGTTTAGACTTGCATTTCAGCAAAGATTTTCTCAGCAAGGTTGACTCCAAGAAGGGACATCCTGCCCTCAGATATCTGTT